ACGGAAGAGATCTAGATGGACTTTAAATAATAGGATACTAAAAGAAAAAGATTTCAAACAAGGCACCTATTATTATTGATACTATTTTTGCTTTCTTTTGCCACAGTCATTCTACTTCTATTTACAGGTCTTCATATTTTGTGATTTTCTCCAGTTCTTTCTCTACAACGACGACGACGATGATGATGATTTCTCGTTTTATATATTTTGGCCAACTCAAGGCAGCAAATATACCTAATACTCCTTCCTCCTCCTATTTTCCCCACAACAACAACCTTGTGAGATCCGTTCGGCTGAGGGAGAGTGGCTGGCCCAAAGTCACCCAGCCAGCTTCCATGGCTAAGGCAAGCCTAGAACTCACATTCTCCTGATTTCTAGGCCTGTACCTTAATCACTGCACCAAACTGGCTATACTATACTATGCTAAGAATGGACTTTCTGTTTACACATTCAGAATTTATTTTGCTCTCCTCGCTTATATATATCTTCTATATCTCCCAAGCCTACTTCAGACAATTCTCCACACCCTCTGGAGTAGACTTGGAAGACTGCATAAGTAGATGCTGTGACTGTTTTTTTGGCCTAAAGAGCAAGTTTGATGGATTTGAAGGATACTCAAATTCAAACTGAAACAGAAATTTCAAACACAAATTTTCATTTTAAAGTATAGGCAAATTAATATTTTTTTGCAAAAAAAAAAAATTAATGTAATCAATTCTTAAACCCAGTATTACAAATTTGCTCTCTAAGGTCAAATTCATAGACAGATCTATCAAAATCTACAGAGCCAAACAGAGACCAGAAACTCACCGGTCTAAACTTGTACACTGTTTACTATAGCTAAAGAAATATTTAAAGCCACACATTTTTATAGTAACACAGATAGCTAATGTTTCAAAATAGGACGCAAAATTTACCAAAACCATGCATGTGGAAAAAGACTGTTTTCATCTCAGCTGTATGTATTCAAGTGTAATGAAGTTGAAGTATCCACCTTTGATTTTCTTCGTGATATTATTATAAAAGGAAATAAGACAGCAGCGATGTCAGATGACATATTAAGACATTTAAGAAGAACAAAAATGCATTTCTGTGGGTATACCTGATGGAAAGCAAAGTAGGCACCCTTCCAAGCCAACATGGTGAAATCCTATAATTCACTGTTTTTGCCCTGTTTGCCAGACGGGAATGGAGGGGGAACAGAGCAGCACATAGTAGTTTGAATTTTAAAATACTATTCTGTCTTGCCTGCCAAATCTCTAACTCCCCTTCCCCTCTCATACTCGTTTCAAAGAAAAACGCCTAACATATAGTTTGAGAATCAAAACCACAAGTTATTTGGTCACTCCCAAAGTATATTCAACTTCGCTTACCAGAAATGGCACTGTTTTTGTTGGTTGGCTTTTGCATTCCTTCCAAGGCATCAGAGCCAAAGCAATTTTGTCTTAAACCTTTGAGCTTTGTCATACTGAAGCAGCTCTCTGGGAAAACAAGTATTCCATTATGCAAGGGGGCACCTCCCCATTCAACAGCTATGTCCTTTAGTTTAAAATGAAGAGGAAAAATAGTGATGAAAAATGGCCATAAAAGAGAACAAGCTTGTCTTGGGTAAATTCCTGATGGCCAGAAGTTGCTTACATGGTACTCTAAAATGTCCCAGTCAGACCAGGGAGTTTCTAAAAGGCTTGCTTATCAGTATGCATGGCCATAATTTCTATCTGTGACAGGGTTTTTTCAAACCTCACCAGTGTTAGCCATACTATTTTTCCATTGTTAATGCTAAGTGGCCCTCTCTTTTAAAATGCAAACATACACACAATTCTTTCATGAGTGCTGGTAAAGCTACAAACAGTGCTATAATATAATAATCCAGGCTCACTTTTAACCTACATGCGCAATGATAAAAAAAGGAACTTGGAACGTTTCAGCTTCCCTTCTTTAAAAAAGTCTGTTTTGATGTATTTGTGCAACAGCTCTGCCTGCGTTATTACTCAATGCTCCTTGCCAGAAATTTAGCTTCTGTACGTTGCTCAATTTAAAACAATGAAACAAAATAGAAAACCATAAGCACACAACAAAGTGTAACAAAATTCCAGTCAACCAAAGTTTACTCCTGAAACTTATGAGCTACATCACAAGGTGCCTTTCAGAAGTGTAAAGGTTTTTCCATTTCTGCATGGTTGCCATTTCCAAATCCCACCAAATTACTAACTATTCTGTATTCCCATTCCAGCTTCCAAATTCCACCTCATCATCTGACTCTCAAGAGAGATTCTGGAGTGCAGTAAGGAGCTACAGCTGAGCAGTATGGAACAAAGCTCATTGCACAAGCCAAGTTGTATCACATAACACTGAAAGCAATCCTATGGATTCGCCTGTAATTCTTTTCATTCATTAATACTGTGCTATTAATGGTCCAAAATTAACTCACCCACTACCTAGCTAGGAGGCACATTGTATGCAGACTGCCCTTTGATGCATACGATGAGATGGCTAAAAACTTATATTATAAATTAGTTTTTAAGATGCTACAAGATTTCGTATTGATTTTACTATAACATAATAAACAGAATTATCTTCTGAAAACTAATCAACATTATCTGTGATACAAAAGTGCCTAAAACTTTTTTTTTTGAAAGAAGGAAGAGGTCTGTTTGTTCATTTAGAGAGCACTGCAAGCTAGGGGGAGGGAAAATTCAGCAATTTGCAGTTCTGAAGTAGAGAATGTGACCGCTGATGACCAGCATTCTCAAAGCTTAGTGCTGGTTTTAACCTATAAAGCCCTATATGGCTTGGCAAGCTACCTTCAAGACCACCTCCTTCAGCTGGAATTAATCTGCTTGATAAGCAATTCTTGGGAAAACCTGCTCAAAGTTCCTGGCTAATGTAAAATCAGGAAGGGATAAGCCTAGGAGAACATGTTTCTATGTGATGGTCCCCTGATCATGGAAGAGCCTTTGTGGAAGCTAGACTAGCCTTCCAGAAGTGTTTTTAATTAGTTGAGAGAATACCATAGGACACCACATTGCTTCAGTTAGGTTACTGGTTTTAAGTTGTTGTTGCTATTGTCATGATGTTTAGACTGGATTTGGCATTTTTATCTACTTATCGAGTCCTTCCCAAGGACCTGGGATAGGCAGATGTTGTTGTTTGATGGTGTTAAAAGTATTATTGCAGGATGTAAATTGTTCCAAGTAAAG